ACATTCCCCCCCAGCTATCTCTTTCTCCCCCCTCACATTCCCACAGCTCCAGCCGGCCTGGCTGTGGCAGTCCTGAAGATCCTCCCAAAATGGCTTCAGGGCTGACAAAAGTATCTATAAAATGAACAATTGTAGAAGAATTTTCCTAGGCATAGCTTTTAAACCAGAGACCAGGACACAATGACACTGAACGAAGAGGTGATATTCAGCCGGTTCAGACCAATTCGCCTGAACTGGTAGCAGAAATCGTGGGTGGGCCCAGCCTCCCGCCCCGGCTCTATACCATCCTATTTAGGCACGTTTTTGAGGCCAGGCGCATGCGCAGAAAGTCCACGCGTGACCAAAGCACATGCACAGAAGGCAGGCATGTGCACAAACCAGGCACACATGTGCACAAAGCAAGCATGCATGCACGCAGTGAACCAGGAGTAACTTAATGTGAAACCCACCACTGCACTGAAGCATGAATTGGTTTATTGGGGTCAAAATCTAAGAGTGTATGGAATGCAACCTGTCTTTCTGGACTTTTGGAAAAGAGAGTGAATATATTTGATGGGATTCTGCCCATCATGAATCTAATGAAGTCGATGAGGCAGTTATGAAGTATGGGGCAGGATTACAAAGACAAGATGGAGGGAGGGATGCTGAAGGAACATAAAGGCTGGCATTCCATGAACGGTGCTTATTTATGCAGATTAACCCTCAATTTACAACCAGTAATTTAATGACTGATCGAAGTTATAATCAACCTGAACAAAGGGACTTATGATCCGGATCTAAAATTCCATCAGTCAGATCCACCCCTCCATGGTCAGGTGACTACATGCACTTCAGGCGCTTGGCAACATGGGTGAATTTATTATTGTTTGTGGTGTCCCATGGTCATGTGGCCGTATTTTATGATGGCTTTGCCAAAAAGCAGCACTTTCACTAAGTAATGGGTTTGTTTAATAACGTGTTTGCTTTGCAGCCACCATAAAAAGAGTGTAAAATCGGGTCCGTCATATGACTGACCTGTGTAACAACCCTAATTATGGCTTATGACCATAATGGGCAAGCTCCACTACAGCTATAACTTGAGGACTACCTGAAATGGATTACTTTTGCTTAGACTATCCTTGTTTCCCGATATATACTCTGCGTCTCCTAGCATCTTTTCCCAGCCAGTCACCATTCCTTGGATTTTGAGTCTTGGTTGAGCTGAGAGTTGAATTTCCTTAAGAAAGTGTATTTATGAAGGGGCTAATTTGGCAGCCTAAACAGATATCCTATAGCTGAGTTAGCTTCTTCTTCTTTTTTTGCTTGCCAGAAAAAAATGCCTTGCGGTCAGCAGCTGTTTGGCTTGACCTGCAAAATTCTACTTGAGGATGTTTATGGAGATTCTCAGTCATCCAGGTCATGATTGTCCCAAAGGTCCTTTTTTTTTTGTTCAAGAGGTAACTGGACTTTCTGGGTTTTTTTTTCTTTCAATATGTTTCACTTCTCATCCAAGAAGCTTCTTCAGCTCTGACTGGATCCATCAGTCTAATGCTTGAGATTCTTCTAATTTTTTTAAAAAAATGCCTTATAGCAACCACGATTGAAAGTGTAGATTAGTGAGGAACTAGTGCAGGGGTGGCCAGTTAATTTTCCCAAGGGGTCACATGAGAAACTGGCACTATTGTGCAGGGCTGAAACCAATAGAGTTGTGAAAATATGTATCAGGATGAAATGCTCCCGGTTCGGATTGAATCACCCAATCCAGTAGCGATGACGGTGGGTGGTTTGGAGAACCGATAGTAAAAATCCCTGCACCCCCCCTCCCCCCATGCCCAGCTTAGGCGCACGATCATCAGAGGCTTTTTTTTTTTAACTTTTAAAAGCATTTTTTTCTTCGGCCGAAAAAATGCTTTTAAAAGTAAAAAAAAAAAAAAGCCTCTGACGATTGAGCGGCTCAGCTGGGATCGTCAGAGCCTTTTAAAAGCATTTTTTTCTACAACATTTTTGGCCGAAGAGGTTGTAGGGAAAAATGCTTTTAAAAGGCTCTGATGATCCCAGCTGAGTTGCCTGATTGTCAGAGGCTTTTTTTTTTCTTTTAAAAGCATTTGTTTTGCTTTTAAAAGAAAACAAAAGCCTCTGACGATCAGGCAGCTTGAAGGCTCCTTAGAGCCTTTTAAAAACATTTTTTTACAACCTCTTCGGCTTAAAAGTAAAAAAAAAAAAAAAGTTGGCCACGCCCACCGTCACCCCATCAAGCCACGCCCACAGAACCGGTAGTAACAAATTTTACATTTCACCACTGATATGTATCCACACATGTACACAGGCACATATGTAAATTTAAAAAATAAAATAACAGTCGCCTTCAAAATAAAAGTAATGCAGTTGCATTGTGTTCATGATATACACTTAGTTTCTAGTTTCCAATTGACCTCATGTAGGCTGGACAGGGACAGCCAAAGGGTGGGGCCATAAAACGCCCAAATCTGATCTAGTATCTACATGCCCCTAAATAATCATCAATAACGCTCCCTCAAATCAACCTGAATTGCTGATGATCATACGCTTTGATTTAAGTTTAATGGATTTATACCCAAATTTTCTATCTATGTGACAGTCAAAGAGACTTGTAACAGCAAAGAAAATACTGTCACAATAATTGTCTTTGGAGATTCTCCAGTCATCCAAGTCATGGTTGTCCCAAAGGTGCTTTTTTCAAGAGGTAACTGGACTTTCTGGTTTTTCTTTGAAGACATTTCACTTCCCATCCAAGAAGCTTCTTCATCTCTGACTGGATGGTGGGGAATGGAAGGATTTATATTCCTTGCAGACAGTTGGTCATTTGCATCCTTTTAGTGAGTTGTTAAGGTCACCTGAAGGTTTATCTGTGTCATCAGCTCCACATCTATTTGGACTACTCAGGTGACCCTGAGGACACAGAAAAACCTCCAAGAGGTCTCAACAACTCACTAACAGAAAGCAAATGACCAGCAGTCTGCAAGGAGTATAAATCCTTCCATTCCCCACCATCCAGTCAGAGCTGAAGAAGCTTCTTGGATGAGAAGCGAAACTTCTTCAAAGAAAAAACCAGAAAGTCCCGTTGCCTCTTGAAAAAGCACCTTTTGGTGAGAAGAGCTGTTTAAATGTGGACTGGACTTTAAATATGATTTGATATTTTTAAATTGAAAAAGAAAAAAGAGAAGTCAGGTAAGATCGTGATGTAATGGAAAACAAAATGGATACTTGTTAAGCAATTGGAAATTGTGGATTGCAGAGAGACACCATCTGGAGTAAAAAGGAACATTGTAACTTGATTCTTTGTTTTGGAAAATTGTGAACTTCACAGATAATAACCATATGAACTTGTGGAGGAGGATTATCTTGTCTACAAGAGGCTTGACTTTTGGAGGAATAAAAAAAGAAATAGAAGGGAATACAATGGAATTTTTATAATTGGAGCAATTATTTGACCTGGAGAATGGAAATAAAAGAAATAACTATAATGTTGCACAGAGGATAAAGTTTGAGGATATAAAAATCGAAATGGAGTAAACATGTGTGGACAAGAAAATGAAGAGGGAGAAATAAGACATAGAAGTGGAAAATAAAGAAGATAAAGATATTGTGATTAAATATGAATAAATAATTGAACATGGGAATAGTAATAATAAAAAGGAGGTCTCTAGAGATTATATTGAGATTAACAATAACATAATGATGATTATATGGAGATTAATAATACTATAATGATGATTATATGGAGATTAATACTGAATGATAAAAGAATAAAAGGTTGGAAAATATGAAGAAATTTAAAGAAGTCCAGGACCTGGATTTATAAAATGACTATATTGAGATTAACAAATATGAGAAGAATTATGTTATACATATTTAGAAATGAAATAGGGATTGAAGTTAAAATATATGGAAAATAGATTACATTAAAAGAAATATAGCAATGGATATAATGAACCAATTTATTATTAAGATGCTAAAAGATACTACTTGATGCTTATAATAACTGGGATGTTGTTTAAATACCTATAACAATTGTTATAATTTGAATATTTGTAATAATATATCTACGAAAGTAAAAGATGATTATGCTGGGATTAACAGTGAGAAAAATAAAGATAATTATCCTGGGATGAACAGTAACTAAAATGATTACACTGGGATTAACAGAGAAAAAAATATAGAGGATTACACTGGGATTAACAGTGAATAAAGATGATTACACTGAGATTTACAGTGAGAAAAATAAAGATGATTATGCTGGGATTAACAGTGGAATAAAGATGTATTTTGTACACTGGGATTAACAGTGGAAGGATAAAAGAAAAGGTGAAATTAGAAAATTGATAGCTATAATAATTGGGATATTGTTTAAATATGTATAACAATTGTGATAACTTGAACATTTATTACCTAAGTGAAAAAGAAAAGAAAACTGAAACAGTATATGATTATGATCTATAAATAAAAATTACTTAATTGGTGTTATATAAATGGTATGGTTTGATAGATAGAATTTAGGTTAATTGGGAAATTGCATTAAAGAGCATTATTTGAACTAAGAACTATGTTTAAATGTTAAATTGCTATATTTTTAAAATTAAAGATACAATTTAAATTTGATAAAGTAATAATGGAATAAAGATTTAATGAGCATAATGAAATATAAATATGTTTGAACTGTATTGTCATTAGTGAGGATTTAGGGTAAAAATTGTTGTATTATGAGTTATTAATTGAATTAAGAATTAAGGTGGGTTAATAGTAGGATAATTGTTTTGATTAAGTAAATATGTGTTAATTTTTTTAAGATGGTATCAGTTGAATAAGTGATCTAAGATTAAAAAATAAGTCTTATAGCAAAATAGAATAGATAAAATTTTGTTAAAGATTTTGTTAAAAATTGAACAAATGATGACCGGATCAAAGCTCTGTTCCGAAAGGATGTAATTTGTATGTTTGGAAAAAAAATAAAAAAACTTTTTGTAAAAAAAAAAAAGCATCTTTGGGTATCACATTAATTCAATCCAGATTAAAACTAGCATTAAAATAAATAGATGGTCTTTTCTTGGCTGTGAAATAGAAGTGGCTTATCCTTGCTTGCTTTCAGGATTTTTTTTTTCTTTTCAGTTTTCAATCTATATATAGACTTGGGACTTCCAATACTTCACATCCAAAAGCTAACCAATGCTGAGATCTAACTAGGCAGGGCCACCTACTGAGGATACTCTCCTCCAGATTTTCTAGATTGCAATTATTCAGATTATTTATCTGGTCAAGGAGTAACAACCAACCAACATTTATATACTTGTCTCAGCAGAGATACAAGAGATAACTAGTTTTGGTCAGAAAAAAAAATATTCACAGTAGGATTATATGGACCTCAAAGGATAAGGAACCATTCCAATAACAATCACTGTGGATCTTCTCCAGAGCATAGTTTATTACCCATCATTCTTCTCAAAGCCACTTTAACCTCTTTGTTCCTCAAACTGTAGATTATGGGGTTCAACATGGATGTCACCACTGTATAGAACAGGGCCAACAGTTTGTCACTCTCAGCTGAATAGCTGGATTTGGGCCGAAGGTACGTGATAATGCCTGACCCGTAAAATAGCGAGACCACAATGAGATGAGAGGAACAAGTGGAGAAAGCTTTCCGACGGCCCTCGGCTGAGGGGATCTTCAAAACAGAGATGACAATATAGACATAAGAGGTCAGGATCAACAGGAAGGGTATGGTAATAAAAAGGACAGCCACCATGTATACAGCGATTACATTTCTGGAGGTGTCACCACAAGCCAGCATCAAGAGTGGCGGGATGTCACAAAAGAAGTGATTGATCCTATTGGGGCCACAGAAGGTCAAGCTAAAGACATAGTTGGTCTGACCCAGCCCCACCAACAATCCTACTGACCAGGAGGCCACTGAGAGCTGGACGCAAACTGTTGGGCTCATGATGACGCTATAACGCAAGGGGTTACAGATAGCAACATAGCGGTCGTACGCCATGGCAGCAAGGAGGCAGCATTCTGTGATTCCAAACAAAGTGAAGAAATACATCTGGGTAGCACAACCCCAGAGAGCTATCTTCTTGCCATGCTCTGACATCAAGCTTGCTAGCATCTTAGGAACAATGCAGGTGGTGTAGCATATTTCTAGGAGGGATAGGTTAGTCAAAAAAAAGTACATGGGTGTATGAAGGACTGGATTGAGCCTGATCACAGTGGTGATGATAGTATTTCCAGCAAGGGACATGCCATACATGGAGAAAACCAGAACGAAGAGGAGCACCCGCAACTGTGGTCGTTCAGAAAACCCAGCAAAAATGAACTCAGACACCAGCAACGAACGATTGGACATAATTCATACCAGACGATGACTCATCTGCAAGGCATAAGAGAAAACGAAGAATCAGCAGTGAAATATTATCTGTTTCTTTGCTGTTGCTGTTTAATAGAAAGATGGGCTTATCTCCTTGGTGATAACACCCTCTGATTTCTCACCCTAGCTATAGAGTAATTGCACAAAAGTAAGAAAGAGAAAACAAGGTTGCTACATGCAGCATGCACACACAGAGAGAAAGCGAGACAGAGACAGACAAAGAGACAGAGAGACAGACAGAGAGACAGAGATAGACAGAGACACAAAGAGACAGACAGACAGAGACAGACAGACAGAGAGGCAGAGAGGCAGAGAGAGAGACAGAGAGAGAAACAGAGAGCCTAATTGTACTTTATTAACTTGTTTAAAACAAACCATGGCTTGGTGCAATATATGTATCTAACTATATCTGATCCTAAATAAATCTAGGTTTCCTAAATTTCCCAGTTCTTTTTAAGCCACAGTACCGCTTGGAGGGATTCCCGTTATTTATATAAAGATAATAAATTGTCATCTGCAAATTAACTTCAATTCATTCTACTGAATATTGGAGGACAACTTACCATAAATGATAAAGCTAAAAGCGCCAATTTACAGATCCCATCATAGGCTTCTCCCGAAGTTTTTCGAAAGAAGGACTTGGGTAGTCTAACTTTAATCCAGAGTGAAAAATCTCTAGATTAAAACCACTAGACCATTAAGCAGAATCATGTGGAGTTCAACAGAATAGAAATAGTAGTAGTAAATAAAAAATTTAAAATTTAAGATTATCATGTGTGTTTTGGATACATAAAATATTAACTTATTCCAGATAGCAAATCATGATCGCCTACAAATTCCCAGTGAATCACTATCAAGTTCTCCAGATGCACTTCAGGATGGAACATTTGCCATCACAAGGAGTGAAGTGCAGAAAATTATTCCAGCATCTTGAAATGAAAATAAAATGGTTGCTTTATCTGAGATTCTATCAAACAAGTGATTCTCAAATGTGCCTTCATGCAAACAGCACAACTAGAATCTTTTGGAACCTAAAATTCTTTTTTAAAGGATTTTTTTTTCATCCTGAAATAATGTTAAAAAATTAGGGCATTGTATTCACTCTATTCACAAACACTTACCTTTGCACTTATCTTTGAAAATCTGATCCAACCTATTGTCAGAGAAGAAAATTTCTGGTTGGTGCAACCAATGTCTTTCTATATTGCTGTGTTCCCCATGTGGCTTCCCCAATGAACAGATGTACTTTCTCTCCCAGAAGTAATAACAAATCCCCCAAAGCATTTGGGTCCCTTAGATATTTTTCAAAACACAAACTTCTTTTTTTTTTTTTTAGCAATCAGAATGTTGTAATAATTTGATTTGTAGGACTGGAAAAAATCCACTTCCTTTTAAGGAGAACGAGCCACAGAAGCATCTGCTGCCTATGTGAAACTTCTCATTTTTCAAAATATCTTCTAAATGAAGATATGCTAAACATAAATTTCAAAGCATTAATTTGCAGATTGACAGAGGTGGGGGGGAAATAGTCAAGAAATGCTGGCCCCATAAAATCAGAACTTGGATTGATTTAATTCAATGTCGTAAGTGAGAGAACGTGGGATGCAGTGAACCTACAGGTTGTTAAGCATAGTCCAGGCATCTCCAAACTCAGCGACTTTAAGACTTGTGGACTTCAATGCCCAGAATTCCCCAGCAAGCATGGTTGGTTGAGGAATTCTGGGAGTTGAAATTCACAAGTCTTAAATTGCTGGTATAGTCAAAGGTTAAGAAAGCTAGTCTGCAAAGGAACGTCCATTATAGGCAGTCCTAATCTCAAAATTTTCTCCAGAGCCCCTCAAAACGTGCTGATTGATTGTGTTTGAATTTGTGGGAATATTTATTTATTTACATTTCACATTTCTGAACCTCCCATCTCCCTCAAAGAAGGACTCTGGGCGGTGTACGATGTAACATCGTCTCTTCTTAAATGGTTCTTTTTTCCATATAGGCTCAGTTCCACCACATTTCAACCACATGACATGTTAGATCATTTTCAGACTATTCACAACTGAAATAAAAGCCAACGCAGAGCCCAATAACTCTTACATAGTCCTTGTTAGATCCGTGGCCATAGGAGGCGGAGAGGTTCACTGTTGAGACCATCTTTGTTGACCCCAGGGCTAAACATGGGGTACAGGCACTCGGAGAAGTCATCCAGAAAGGTATAGATGTGGGTCATGGTGTCAGCATCGTAAAAAGAGACTTGTCCTCCTTCATAATCCAAATAGACTCCTATTTTCTGAGGCTTGATCTTGAGGAGCAGTTGTTTGGAGGGAGAGTCAAGGGCCTTGTACTCATTGCCATTCCGTAGCCAAATGGCCCAAAAACCGTTGCTGGGCTTGACGGTCACTTTGGCCTCCTTCCTGTTCACCGATTCCTTGGCCACCCCAATGTCCCAACTGGTTTTATTTCCAACTTCTACCTCCCAATAATGGCATTCAGAAGTAAAACCCTGGGCACCCAGCACACATACAGTCTTGCTAAATCTTTCTGGACCATCTGGGACCATTTCTTCAGGATTATCTTCCAAGCGTACTGTGTCAAGATCCTTGGAGAGCACAAGGTTGGGATGATTGGTGTCAGGATCCAAGGTTATAAGGGAAGGGACTGTTCAGAAGAGAACAATAAGAGGGTTATCTCTATTTGACAACTTTGGAAACGTCCACCTAAGAAAGCTGTAAGGTCTATGCTATGTAGACAATTCACATTCACTTCAGTTTTCAGCAATGCCAACCAAAAAAATCCTGTTATTGTCCTGCTAAAAAATTCAATGAATTTGGGATCTATTGCTTCCACTCCCAGAGTTCTAATTAGGTGATTAAGATAATTACAGGTAGTCCTCAACTTATAACCATTTGTTTAGTGACCATTCAAAGTTACAACAGCACTGAAAAAGTGCTGTTTCTCACGCATGGTCATGTGATAAAAATCTAAAATTTGTTACTACCGGTTCTGTGGGTATGGCTTGGTGGGGGGTGTAATGTGACTGGGTGGGCATAGCCAACTTTTTTTTTTTTTTTACTTTTAAAAGCATTTTTTTTTTACAATCTTAAGAGACTGCAGGAAAAAATGCTTTTAGAAGCCTCTGACGATCAGGCAACTCAGCTGGGATCGCCAGAGGCTTTTAAAGGCATTTTTTTTTCTACAACCTCTTCAGCCAAAGCATTTTTGTAGAAAAAATGGTTTTAAAAGCCTCTGACGATCCCAGTTGAGCCGCATGATCATCAGAGGCTTTTTTTTTTTTACTTTTAAAAGCATTTTATCGGCCGAAGAGATTGTAGAAAAAATGCTTTAAAAAGTAAAAAAAACAAACTCTGATGATCATGCGACTCAGCTGGGCATGGGCGGGGGGCGGAATAGGGATTTTTGCTACCGGTTCTCCGAACCACCTGCTGCCATCACTTCCAGATCGGGCAATCCGGTCCAAACTGGGAGCATTTCACCCCTGGTCCATTCCAACTCTGATATTCTGTTATTCCCATCATCCATAAACATTAAGTGTACTGTTATGTTCCTTGGCAGCTGCTTATCATGATTCTTTACAGCCACAATGTTTTCAGAGTTCATTTGTGCAGCATGTTTTGAATTGAAAAGAAATGAAAAGAATGGGCTTTACAACAATTTCAGCTGCTGAACTATTTAGATCCAGCATGTACATTAAGGGTGAAACTTTTTTCTTTAATTTCTTTTCTAACAGCTTTCCTATGATCTGGAGAAGAGGTGTGCCTTTTCAATGACAAAAGGAGAGATTTGTGTCTGTCTGTTTACATAACAGCTTCCTGACTCTTTTATCAGGCTGGGAACCAACTCGTTATCTGCAGTTGATGGGAGTTGTAATCCACAATATAGGGAGAGACCCGTTTCAGACAAGGCTGAAGTTTAGCTTAATACTCTAACCACGATGCCACTCTTACTGTGATCCAGAACTGAAATGAGTTATGCACAATGAAATCACTATGTAAGAATTAACTCAGCTTTGTTATGATTTCAATGCCGTTCCCCCTTGATACTCACAAGGTCTTAAGGCCAGCAGCATCTCTCTCCAGACCATGTACTGAATAGGCCCTTTAAACTGACCTAAATTGAAATCACGAGAAATCACAGGCAACGGATTTTCTTTGACCTCACCAGGACAGTATCTGCAAAGACAGAAAAAAAATCAACAAGAACTGTGCAATTCCATGGTTTGATCTTGATTGCCATCTGGTGGCCATATCTGGGAATTTCTGAGTCTCACAATACTACATTTCCTTCAGTTTAAAATGATGAACTGAGGAAACTTTGTTCTTGTTGTGGTTGATGATCACTGCACAGATGTGCAGCCAGATGTTCAAACTGAGTTTGGCATTTTTGTCTACCTATCGAGTCCTTACCAAGGACCTCAGATAGGCAAATCTGGATGTTTATTATGATTATACTTTTATTCATTAAACATGAAACTCAAGTCAGCTGAACATTTAAAAATGTATCACAAATATTATTGACTGGCACTAATGGTTGATACGGGTTGCTGCCAGCATCCTAGGTATCAACCTAGTATCTTCTTTAAAATTATTTATAAATTTATTTATGAATAAAATTAATTTATTATGATTATTATGTTTATTATTGTTGTTTTTGTTTTTGTTGTGTTGTTAGTAATATTAGTGGAAGTAGTGGTAGTATTAGTATCATTTTGTGCTTTCAAGTCAGCGTTGACTCCTGTAAAGGTTTCAGAAGGGTTTGCTATTGCCTCTTTCCTAGGGCTGAGAGAGAGTGGCTGGCCAAGGTCACCCAGCTGGTTTGTGCCTAAATAGGATTAGAATTTATTTATTTGTTAAATTTATTTGCCACCTATCTTCCCAGTCTCCATTTTTTTAATCTGATGCCTTAACCCAGAGGTCTTCAAACTTGGCAGCTTTAAGACTTGTGGACTTCAACTCCCAGAATTCTCCAGC